GCCCCAATAAATCCGATTGTGCCCACTGGGACCAGCCCTGTGCTGCCCCTGCATAACCAACCAAGCCTCATCTCCTGCACTGGTGGTTTTTTAGGCATGGTATTGCTGCTAAGAATGGCTCAGGCCATACCTTAGCAGCTCAGGTGGGTGGCTCAGGTGGGTTTTAGTGTTGGTTAATCATCAGTGTGTTTATTTCTTGTTGTGAGATAGGATTAGGAGAAAGGTAAAGTCCTTATCTCTGGGCCAGATGAGAAAGACTCAAAAAGGACCTGGAAATGAGGAATTGTAGCGATTTTGGTTTGTTAATTTTAGATTATTTTTTAATTTTGAGATTTTCTAACTGCTGTGTTGATGAGTGTGGTGGGTTTTAATGTGGTTAATCATTAGTGTATTTATTTCTTGCAGGAGAAAGGTAAAGCAGGTTCAAACTATAACAGGAATAGAGTAAGAAATAGGAGGAAATGAGGAGCTGTCTTTGCTGAGGTGCTAAATGGAGGAAAATGGTGTTTGGAGGGGGTTTGCTGTCTCTGAGGTACTGAGAACACACTGATGGCTTCAACTCCTCTGACTCTCCAGCATTTCCAATGTAAAAAAAAGGATATTGCCCAGCAGTGAAGGAATGGGAGCCTGTAAATCCCATGGACAGCCCCAAGGCAATCTTACTCCTCCTTTTCCACTTGCCTTAAGAGCAGGAACATTGTCCAGAGCTTTCCCCGAGGTGCTTTCACCTAGAAACCCAGTTAGTGCATTTCAATTACGGGGTCAATACAATTATAAAGCCTCCTAAAAAGGCTTTTAGAGGTCTGGGCTCAGAGTGATGTCCCCCTGGAGGACAGGAGGTCGCCGTGGCTCTGGGCAGAGTCACTGAGTGAGTTCTGTTGTGTGGGAATCCCTGCAGCCAGCTGCTCTCTGGGCAGGATGAGAAGGACTCGAAAAGGACCTGGAGATGAGGAGCTGTAGAGATTTTGGTTTGTTATTTTTAGATATTTTTTTTAAATTTTGAGATTTTCTAACTGATGTGTTGATGAGTGTGGTGGGTTTTAGTGTTGGTTAATCATTTGTGTATTTATTTCTTGTTGTGAGATAGGATTAGGAGAAAGGTAAAGTCCTTCTCATCTCTGGGCCAGATGAGAAGGACTCGAAAAGGACATGGAGATGAGGAATTGTAAAAATTTTGGTTTGTTAATTTTAGATTTTTTTGAAATTTTGAGATTTTTTAACTGATGTGTTGATGAGTGTGGTGGGTTTTAGTGTTGGTTAATAATTAGTGTATTTATTTCTTGTTGTGAGATAGGAGAAAGGTAAATCCTTCTCATCTCTGGGCCAGATGAGAAAGACTCAAAAAGCACCAGGACATGAGGAGCTGTAGTGATATTGCTTTATTAATTTTAGATTTTTTTTTAAATGTTGAGATTTTCTAACTGCTGTGTTGATGAGTGTGGTGGGTTTTAATGTGGTTAATCATTAGTGTATTTATTTCTTGCAGGAGAAAGGTAAAGCAGGTTCAAACTGTAATAGGAATAGAGTAAGAAATAGGAGGAAATGAGGAGCTGTCTTTGCTGAGGTGCTAAATGGAGGAAAATGGTGTTTGGGGGTTTGCTGTCTCTCTTCCAGCCCCTTTTTCACACTTTTTGCAGCGTGTAAGAGGGGTCCCTGTGCCCCTCTGTTGGGCACAGGGTGGGAGCTTCAGCCAGGAGCTCCTGGGTGAGCCCAGCCCTGCTAAATGCTCATAGATGAATGGCTCTTTCTTTGTGCAGGGAAACACACGCTTCCCTTGCCAAGGGATTTTTTTGTTGTTGTTGTAAAGGGGAGAGGGGAACAGTGCAGAGTTTATTTTAAGGTCCATCTGGATTTCATCAGCAGCAAAAGCTGTGAACTCCAAGAGCAAGGTGAGGAGCCCCTGGCCCCCTGGTTTTCCTTCCCCTCTTCCTTGAGACCTTTCCCTCTCTCAGCTTTAGAGCTCCCAGAGGATTTGGGGGGGCTGGAGCAGCCATTGCCACAAAGCCTCACTGAGAGGGTAAAGCTGCTTAAAGGAGACATTGCTTGATGCTGGAGCTGAATCAGGGAGCAAAACAGGGATGCCAGAAGCCAAAGGTAGCATCCTACCCATGGCATTGGCTTCAGAGCCTTCCTCAGAGGATGATGATGGTTGTGAGGAGCCCCTGCTCCCCTGGTTTTCCTTCCCCTCTTCCTTGAGACCTTTCCCTCTCTCAGCTTTAGAGCTCCCAGAGGGTTTGGGGGGGCTGGAGCAGCCATTGCCACAAAGCCTCACTGAGAGGGTAAAGCTGCTTAAAGGAGACATTTCATGATGCTGGAGCTGAATCGGGGAACCAAAGACAGCATCTACCCATGGCACAGGCCTCACAGCCTTCCTCAGAGGATGATGATGGATGTAGGGTTCACTGCAGGGCTCCGGGCTGTGTCAGAGGCACCCAATTGTTGCATTCTCACACACACTTGGTGTGCTGGGGGCTCTCTGAGGGGGATGTTCAGTGTGTGGTACAAACGTGTGGGGGGTGAAAGGAAGGAAGGGCATGCTCTGTGTGGGGTGGGACAGGGAAGCTATTGCAGAAAAATCAGCAGAAAAGGCTCTGATGCCAGGAAAAACGTGAGGAATGGGGTTATGGAACAGGAGCAGGGACACCCCATGTGTGTCCTCTAGGAGAGCCCCTCCTGCCCCATGCTGGAGGAGTGTCACCCCGGTTTTTAAAGATTTTCTGAGCCTTCTGATGTTGATATTTTTGTAGCAAACTTTCTCACACACTTTCTGTAAATAACTTATTGTTTTCCATTCTTTTATGGAGGAGGAGAAATTGGATGGGCTGTTGGTTTGTCCAGTGTCATTGGAGAGGTGGCCCTGTCACCCTCTAACCCACTGTCACTTTTGGAAATCTATAAATGTTATCTATAAATCTATAAATGTTGGAGTCAGAATTTTAAAATTCCCTTTTTACCTTGAGAGAGCTGCCTGTCCACATCGTGTAAATAACTGTTTTGCATTCTTTTGTGGAGGTGGAGAAATTTGATGGGTTGTTGGTTTTACCAGTGTCATTGGAGAGGTGGCACTGACACTTTTGGGAATCTAAAAATGTTATCTATAAATCTATAAATGTTGGAGTCAGAATTTTAAAATTCGCTTTTTACCTTGAGAGAGCTGCGTGTCCACATCGTGTTGGTTTGCATTGTTTTGCATTCCTTTATGAAGGAGGAGAAATTTGATGGGCTGTTGGTTTGTCCGGTGTCATTGGAGAGGTGGCACTGTCACCCTCCAATCCACTGTCACTTTTAGGAATCTATAAATGCTGGAGTCAGAAAATAAACTTCCTTTTTTTCCTTCACCTTGAGAACAGCGATGTGCGCTTGTGTTCTTTGGCGTCCTATAGCGACAGAGGAGGAGGAGGAGGAGGAAGGGCATCCACGCAGGTGCAGCTGTGGTGAGCAACATCCCCATCTTGTGGCAGCAGCAGCAGCACCAGGGGAGCAGAGCCAGAGCTGCTCTGTGTTCCAGAGCCCCAAGGGCACGGCGGGGATGTGGCAGCCTTGGCAGGGCCGTGTGACCGGCAGGACACGTTCTGGCCGTGCCCGGAGCTGCGGATCCACCCCGGGGCAGTGCCAGGCAGCAGGGCCGTGGGAGGGTGAGTGCACCAGAGTGATGCAATCTCACCCCAGGACTTCAATTATGGGGTCAATACAATTATAAACCCCCCTAATGAGGCTTTTAGAGGTCTTGGCTCAGAGTGATGTCCCCCCGGAGGGGTCTCAGTGGCTCTGGGCAGTCAGTGTGGGAGTTTGGTTGTGTGGGAATGAAGATGTGGTGCCCTGTGAGGGTCACTGTCTGTCCCCAAGCTGCCAGGATGGGGTGCCCAGGCTGCACCCACCCAGGATGGGGTCCTCAGGCTCTGCTAAAGTGGGAGGATGGGGTTTTGAGAACCCTGTAAACCCTGGGGCCTTTCCAAGAGTGAACTGGGAACCAGGGTGCCCAAGGCCTGTGGTGTTGTCACCGTGTTTGATCTGGGCTGTGCCTTGACCCCGGGTTAATCAGCCCACAGGGCTCAGGGGTGCTGTCCACGTGGGGAGAGCAGGTTGGGATGGTGAAAAGGGGAAGGCAGAGTGTGACTGTGCTGACAGGACATGGGGCAGGTGTCCCTTGTGCTCCCCAGGTGCCACAGGTGTGGTGGTGCGGCCTTGGGGACAGCTGAGGGTGGACGAGGAGCAGAGGGGCTGTCACCACTGCAAGGGACCCACAGAGGGGCTGTCACCACTGCAAGGGACCCACAGAGAGGCCTCCATCCCCAAGGACTCACAGAGAGGCCTTCATCCCCAGCAAGGACCCACAGAGGGGCCTACATCCCCAGCAAGGGACTCACAGAAGGGTCTCCATCCCCAGAAAGGGCTCCAGGGACTGGTGAAACTGGAGGAGTAGGGAGTGGGAAAGCACAGCTGTCACTGTGCAGGGACACGGTCACACCTAAGGTTCTGTGGTGGCTCTGGCCACTCTGTTTTGCCCATCTTCTGCTGTTTTGGCCCAAATTTGCTGCCAGCACAGCACGGCTCTGTGCCAAGCCCCTCATGGGTGCTGTAGGGCAGAAATGGGATGAGCCAGGGAGAAGGGAGCAGACAGCAGGCAAGTTGGCAATTGAGATTTATTAAACATGGGTCACCCCAAAGGTCACCCCAGATTTCAGCAGGAAACACACAGGCCCTTAAGGGGGGAAGCTGACCACGAACCCTTGAGTGAGGAGAAGCCCCTGCCCCTCACATTTGGGTGCCTGGTCCTCCTCCCTTCCCCCTCAGTGTTCTCAGAGAGACCCACAAGACTCAAAGCCTGCTTCTGTCCTACAGGCATGATGCTTCCATGGGACATCCCCAGGCAAGAGGAAGGAGGCTGAGTGCAAGAAGTCCCACCAAGGGAGCCATCAGAAGAAGCCACACCACCTCCAAAAGGTAGGGTTTTTTTCCAAAATACAGCTTGTCCCAATGGACACCATGATGGGACCAACAAAGGGGTGCAGCAAAGGAACAAAGACCCCACCACGAGTCACGTTAATTTGTGCCACGTTACTGTTCTATTTGTGCCATGTTATTCTTCTTGCAAAGCATCAGCACAGCACTAAAGCAGCGCAGGGACCTCAGAAGAGACCCAAAGGGAGCTGGGAGGGAAAACAACAGGAAAATCAGGGCAGATCTGTGGTGTGGAGCAAGGCTGGATGCCGCCGATTTGGGAGCGGGGCATGTCAGGCGCTCACCAAAAATCACCGCACGCTGATCACGTCATCAGGGACTCTTTGTTCGTTGGAAACAGTCTTGTGTGGCTGGTGAGGAATGGGACAAGATCCAGCCGGAGGAGGGACACACCTGGATGAAGCCTACTCAGTCTTGGAGGCCACGGTGCCATTGGATGCTCCCGGGTCTTTCTTAGAGGCCCCGATGCCGTTGGACGCTCCCGGATCTTTCTCTCGGAGCTTGCGCAAGTAATCGTGGGGGCCTTTGCCCTCAAAGGACGTGGGGCTCTTGTAGGAACCCCCAATCTTGTCCCAGAGGGTGAAGTACTGCCCGTAGTTGTAGTCGAAGTACAGGTGGTGGTCGGTGTGGTGGGCAGAGCCGTTGATGATGTGCCGCAGCAGCCGCGGCACGCGGTAATCGCCGTCGTGGATGGAGATGGTCCAGACGTTGACGAAGATGTAGAGGCCCAGGTAGGTGACTTTGTGCAGGGGGAACAGGAAGGGGTAGATGTGGTAGGGCAGGCTCTGCATGAAGCCATCCACGGGGTGGAAGGCGTGGCTGGCGAAGGGCGTGGCGATCTTCCACAGGTGGTGGGGCTTGTGGAAGCGCTGCGGGGACACGGGGCTGTCAGTCAGGGTGGATCCCCAGAGCCAGATTCATGGCCCCAAGGGATGCTGTCTGGGCCACCACCACCCAAACTGAGAGGGGGACATGTGCCCTGTCACAGACATCTCTTATGAAAAATCCTTTCTTTAGGATTTTTCCTCCTGAGAAGCTGGGAGGCCTCAGGAACAAAATGCAAACATTGATTATCTGCTGCTGTGGAATGCAACAAGTAGATCTTTGATTAGCCCATGTTGGTTGTTTCTAATTAATGGCCAATCACAGTCAGCTGACTCAGACAGAGAGTCCGAGCCACCAACCTCTGTTATCATTCTTTCTTTTTCTATTCTTAGCCAGCCTTCTGATGAAATCCTTTCTTCTATTCTTTTAGTTTTTTAGTTTATTTTATGATAATATATTTTATGATAATATATTTTATTAAAACTACTCTTGTAGTTTTAATATAATATATATCATAAAATAATAAATCAAGCCTTCTGAAACATGGAGTCAGATCCTCGTCTCTTCCCTCATCCTCAGACCCCTGTGACCACCATCACAAGAGGGTCTCCCAGCCAGATTCATGGTCCCAGGGGATGCTGTGGGGGCCACCACCACCCAAACTGAGAGGAGGACATGTACCCTAAAGGGCTCTCAGCTTGACATCTTCAGTGCCATGCTTTTTATAAGCTACAAGAACGTAAAATTTGGTGGGTGATCGGTTGATGATTTATGATCATGGTTTGTATTTTTGTTTGGTTTTTTTTTGGGGGGGGGGGGGGTTAGTTCTGGGGTTAATTCTATGTTTGTTTGGGGGTGGTTATGGAGTGATGGTGACAGTTGGTTATTGTTTTTGATACTAGAAAATATAGAGGAAGGTTAATTAATAGTGTGTTGATGACCGTCACATGGTGAAGCCTTGTTCAGCCATTCCCACCCCAGCATGCAGCTTGGAAATGTCACCAGAGCAGGATAAGGACTCCTGTCCAGAGCCCCCTGTCCTGTCCCATACCTTATAGAACAGCTTGTGGTGGAGACCACGGTGTATCCAGTAGATGCCCATGTCAGTGAAGAACAGGAAGGACAGCATGCTGAGGAAGACACCAGACCAGCCTGGAGAGGGGAGACAGGGTTGTTAGAGGTGGCACATCAGGAGTCTGTGAGGGTCCCCACAATGATCCTTGTGGTGGGAGACACAGGTGAATAATGTCAGAGTCTGCCCCATTGAGGTGACAGGCTCAGGCTGTCCCATGTGGGCACCAGGAGACTGTGAGGGTCTCCACAATGGTCCTCATGGTGGAAGACACAGGTGAATCGTGTCAGAGTCTGCCCCACTGAGGTGACAGGCTCAGGCTGTGTCATGTGACTCAGGGCAGGTGAGTCAGGTGCTGTTTCACTGGAGCTGTGCCCAGGGAAAGGAAGGATCTCTTGTGGAGGGTGGAGTGTGTCAAGGAGGGGGACACAACCCTGAGTGAAAGTGTCTGGGTGTTCTCCTACAGAGAACCTGGGCTTTTGGCTCACAGGCTGGGACAGCAGGTACCCAGGGGGATCTCCTGGGGTTGCCATCGGAGAAATGGGGTCTGAGGGAGGTGACCCAGGTGTGGCAGGGGGTGCAGGGAGGTCACTCACCATACGGGGAGTCCTCGATGTTGTCGTAGAGTTTGCTGTAGCCCCGCACCTCGGCGAAGAACAGGGCGACGGTGGGGACACTGATCCAGGGCAGGGAGCGCAGGGCGTAGGAGATCTCCCGGCTCACCTGGTTCTGGGGGGTGTGACAACAGGGTCAGGGGCATGGGGGACATCTCCTGGTTCTGGGGGGTGTGACAACAGGGTCAGGGGCATGGGGGACATCTCCTGGCTCACCTGGTTCTGGGGGGTGTGGCAAGAGAGGTCAGGGGCACAGGGGACATCTCCTGGTTCTGGGGGGTGTGACAACAGGGTCAGGGGCACAAGAGACATCTCCTGGCTCACCTGGTTCTGGGGGGTGTGGCAAGAGGGGTCAGGGGCACAGGGGACATTTCTGAGCTCACCTGGCTCTGTGGGGTGTGACAACAGGGTCAGGGGCACAGGGGATATTTCCTGGCTCACCTGGCTCTGTGGGGTGTGGCAACAGGGATCAGAGGTCAGGGGACATTTCTGAGCTCACCTGGTTCTGTGGGGTGTGGCAAGAGGGGTCAGGGGGCACAGGGGACATCTCCACCTGGTTCTGTGGGGCACAGGGGACATCTGAGAGCCCCAATGCCCCTCATAAGGCCAGGAGGGCTGGTGTCTTGGCCGCCCCTTTGTCATGGCATCTGTGCCATGGTGTGGGACAGAGGGTGCTGCTCAAATGGGGACAGCTGTGCTCGAGCTGGGTGTTGGGGTCAGTGGGATGTGGCACAGGGATGATGGAGGGCATGAACAGGCAGAGAGGGGTGGATGTGACAGCGGGGACAGCCTGTGCCACACCACTGGCAGGTGACATTTGGATGGACAAGGGGATGGCGAGGGGGACAGTGCCACACAGGGCCTGGGCGAGCGTCACAGACATCTTTTATGAGAAATCTTTTTCTTAGGATTTTTCCTCCTGAGAAGCTGAGAAGCCTCAGGAACAAAATGCAAACATTGATTATCTGCTGCTGTGGAATGCAACAGGTGCATCTGTGATTGGTCTCGTGTGGTTGTTTCTAATTAATGGCCAATCACAGTCAGCTTCCCTCACTCTCAGAGCCCTGTGAACCCGGTGAGCAGCCAGCAAGGAGCACCCACCTCCAGGAACTGGGGATGTTTCTTGAGCTCGTGGTCGAAGATGAAGTAGTAGCTGAGGGTGCCGAAGAGCAGGTAGAGGGCGAGGGCGCCCAGGTTGGTGATGACGAAGAGGCTGAGGAGCTGCCGGCACGGCTCGGCCTCGGGCCACCCCGCCGGGTACACGTAGGGCGTCAGGAGGTGCCGGTCCGCGGCTTCCAGCACCAGATCCATGGTGGCTCCTGCGGGAAAAGGACTCGCTGTGACCGAGCTGTCCCTGCCCAGCACGGGATGTCGGTGCCCGCCAGGATGTGGGCAGGGGTTGGCAGGGCTGGCATGCTGTCTGGCTGGCTGGATGGCCTCGGCCGGGAATGGGGAGCGGATCTGGGACGCGCAGGGTGTGGGTGTGAAGCGGGGTAGCACCAGGAGTGCGGGACGCGCCTGATTCTGTGCGCTGAGCTGCGGGAGGGGACACTTGTGGCAGGGGACAGCGGGCTGTGGGTGGCAGCGGGACGGGTGACAGCTGGGGTGCGAAATCCCTTTAAGGGCAGCTCACGGGGCTCCGTTCGTGTCCTGCGGGGCGATTCCCCGGGCAGGGCGGGCGGACAAGTAGGGGTCACCGTGTCCGGGAGCCGCAGGTGGCCCGGCCAGCGGCGGGGAGGGACGCGCGGGGTACGGGGAGCGCGGAGGGGAGCGCGGGGGCGCTGCCGGCGGTGCCCGCACCCCGGTACCCCCATCCCGGTACCCCGATCCCCATTCCCGGTACCCCGATCCCCATTCCCGGTCCCCCCATCCCGTTACCTGCCACAGGTCCCACAGTGGTGCGGGGCGGGGGCGGGGCCACACGGTAGCGCCACGTGACGTCACCGGAGGAAGGGCTCGCGCCACCTCGGGCGGTGACGTCAGTGCGCAGAAAGGGGCGGAGTCATGGGCTGGAGGCGTAACCATTGGCTGGGGCGGGATTATGGGCGTGGTCTGGCCTGGGCGTGGTCGGGATGGGGCGTGGTCTGGGCGGGGCGTGCGGAGCGCTGCCGGAGATGGAATTTCAGGGAGTTTTGGGGAATTTAAGGGCCCACTTCGGCCCCTTCCCTGGTGTCTCCTCGATTGTGAACAATATATCTATATTTCCCAAATATATATGGGAAATATATGTGTGCATATAGATAAGTATATGTGTATATGGCTATCTATCTATATATATCTATATATATAGATATATAGATTTATATTTATAGGTATATCTATATATCTAAATATATAAACATATAAATATATAGATATATATAAAAATATAGAAATAGAGATATATAGAGATATAGATATATAAATAAATAGATATCTAGATATCTATATCATCTATCTATATCTATATCTATATCTAATCTATATTAATCTGTATATAAATATATAGATATCTATATAGAAATATATATAAATAGATATCTAGATATCCAGTCTGTCTATATCTAATCTATCTATATCTATCTATATATAAATATATATATAGATATTTCTATATAGATATCTATATAGAAATATAAAAATATATATATAAATAGATATGTAGATATTTATATCTAATCTATCTATATATATATATATAAAAGTGTGTATATCTATATAGCCACAGATATATAGATTATATAGGTAGATACAGATTATATAGATAGCCATAGATATATCTGAAACTCCAAAAAATTCCGTGTTTGATGCACACTTTTATCCATCTGTAGCAAATACAGGATATTGATATGGAAAGGTGAAGGAGGAAAGAAAAATCCATCATCGCTCCATGAGGAACTCCTGTCCAGAGCTTTCATTCCTTCTGGAATCGTCTTTATTTAATAATTAAAATAAAATGGGTTTGGGTTCAGCTTGGGGAAATATTTGGTCTCAGTTAAAAATCAGGTTCAGCAGGGATAAAGTTGTACATAATTATTATTTCTCAATAAAAATTATTTTAAATCAGCCCTGTTTGCTCTTTTTATTAGAATATAGAGACTTTTTTTTTTTTTTATTTTGGTACAAATGTGGCCTCCACCAAATAAATGGGGTTTCTTCTGGGGTCATAACCCCAAAGTGACCCAAAGTAACCCCAAAATTTTATGAAGTGAGTGAGTTTGACCTATAGTAACCTCAAATTTTAATTTTTGACCTCTAGTAACCCCAATGACCTATAGTAACCCCAAATTTTAATTTTTGACCTCTAGTAACCCCACAATGACCTATAGTAACCCCAAAAGTGACCTAAAGTAACCCCAAAATTTTTAGGAGAGAGCAAGTTTGACCTCAAGTAACCCCAATGACCCATAATAACCCCAATGACCTATAGGAACCCCAAAATGACCTCTAGTGACCCCACAATGACCTATAGTAACCCCAAATTCTAAGGATTGACCTTTAGTAACCCCACAATGACCAATTGTAACCCCAAAAGTGACCTAAGATAACCCCAAAACTTTCAGGAAAGAGCAACTTCGACCCATAGTAACCCAAATGACCTATAGTAACCCCAATGACCTATAGTAACCCCAAATTTTAATTTTTGACCTCTAGTAACCCCAAATGACCTGTAGTGACCCCACAATGACCTAAAGTAACCCCAAAAATGACCTGAAGTGACCCCAAAATTTTCAGGCGAGAGCAAGTTTGACCTCAATGACCTATAGTAACCCCAATGACCTCTAGTAACCCCTAATTTTAATTAGCTTGGGTTTCTTAAGGTCAAACTCACTCTCTGTAGAGCACTTTGGGATTACTTTCACTATTTTGTGGGTTACTAGAGGGCCACAATTAAAATTTGGGTTTACCAGAGGTCATTGGGGTTACTATAGGTCATTGGGTTACTTGAGGTCAAACTTGCTCTCGCCTGAAAATTTTGGGGTCACTTCAGGTCATTTTTGGGGTCACTTGAGGTCATTGTGGGGTTACTACAGGTCACTTTGGGGTTACTAGAGGTCAAAAATTAAGAATTGGGGTTACTATAGGTCATTTGGGTTACTCTAGGTCAAACTCACTTGCTGCTGGAAATTTTGGGGTTACTATAGGTCACTTTTGGAGTCACTTCAGGTCATTTTGGGGTTACTAAAGGTCATTTTGGGGTTACTTGAGGTCAAAAATTAAAATTTGGGGTTACTATGGGTCATTGGGGTTATTAGAGGTCAAACTCACTCTGTTCTGAAAATTTTGGGGTTACTTTAGGTCACCTTTGGGGTTACTATAGGTCATTTTGGGGTTACTAGAGGTCAATCCTTAAAATTTGGGGTTACTATAGGTCATTGGGGTTACTATAGGTCATTGGGGTTATTGGAGTTCAAACTCTCTCCAGATGACTTTGAGATTACTTTAGGTCACTTTTGGGGTTATTTAGGTCATTTTGGGATTTCTAGAAGTCAAAAATTAAAACTTGGGGTTCCTTCAGGTCATCAGGGTTTCTTGAGCTCAAACTCGCTCTCTCCACACACTTTGGGGTCACTTTGCATCTTTCTGGGGCTTCCTTGATGTGAGTTATGAATAATTTGGGGTTTCTCTGGCTCCTTTGGGTTCCTTAGAGTGAACAGAGTTACTCCTGACAAAGCTCTCAGCCCTCCCTGTGTGACAGCTCCTCCTGTGCCCCCTTGGAATTTGGGGTGGTGAAATTCCTGTGCATTTGGAGCACCTCAGAGCTCTCCAGCTCAATCTGTTCCCTCTGTCCCCCCATCCTGTCACCCTCTGGAGCTGCAGATCCTGGATGGATGTAAAAGACACCAAACAGCGTTTGAAAGTTTAAACCAAATTTATTGGAGTACCACCATTAGCAGCACAACTCAACCAGGGTTTGGTTTTAATCATCATTAATACAGAGGTAGGTCACCACTCTTTAATAAATTCAGGCTAAATCAGCCAGGAGTCTGCAAAAGAAACAAGCGCAGTTGGAATAAAACATTGCAGTTCAAGCTAGAAGTTGTTTTTCAGTTTTCTTGCAGTGGAAAATTCTGAGACCTTTTTTTGATTTGCAGCTTTGCTGCCTTGTTTGCCTCTTTCTGCTTGGTAAAAACATCTCCTTGTTTGGGGTGGGTTTATGCTTTGCTCTAAGCCATAAAACCCCTTCTAACTAACACACCCTTTGCCTCCTTGGTTAGCCAGCAAGACTGGCTCAGCAATTCCTTTCTTCTATATCAAAATTTGAAGAAGGAGTAGAGATGGAAGCAGATTGTACATTCAAAAATCTTTCTGCCAAGCACACAAATCTGTGAAACTTTCTTGCCAAACTTTCATCCTTCCCAGCAAGTGCTGTGGTCAGTGCTGTGGTCAGTTCTGTGGTCAGGGCTGTTGTCAGTTCTGTGGTCAGTGCTGTGGTCAGGGGTGTGGTCAGTTCTCTGATCAGGGCTGTGGTCAGTTCTGTGGTCAGTGCTGTGGTCAGGGGTGTGGTCAGTTCTGTGGTCAGTTCTGTGGTCAGTTCTCTGATCAGGGCTGTGGTCAGTTCTGTGGTCAGTGCTGTGGTCAGGGGTGTGGTCAGTTCTGTGGTCAGTTCTCTGATCAGTGCTGTGGTCAGTTCTGTGGTCAGTTCTGTGGTCAGGGCTGTGGTCAGGGCTGTGGTCAGTTCTGTGGTCAGTGCTGTGGTCAGTGCTGTGGTCAGTGCTGTGGTCAGGGCTGTGGTCAGGGCTGTGGTCAGGGCTGTGGTCAGTTCTGTGGTCAGTTCTCTGATCAGGGCTGTGGTCAGTGCTGTGGTCAGTGCTGTGGTCAGGGGTGTGGTCAGTTCTGTGGCCAGTTCTCTGATCAGGGCTGTGGTCAGTTCTGTGGTCAGTTCTGTGGTCAGTGCTGTGGTCAGTGCTGTGGTCAGTTCTGTGGTCAGGGCTGTGGTCAGTTCTGTGGTCAGGGCTGTGGTCAGTTCTGTGGTCAGGGCTGTGGTCAGTTCTGTGGTCAGTTCTGTGGTCAGTGCTGTGGCCAGTGCTGTGGTCAGTGCTGTGGTCAGTTCTGTGGTCAGTGCTGTGGTCAGGGCTGTGGTCAGTTCTGTGGTCAGTTCTGTGGTCAGTGCTGTGGTCAGTTCTGTGGTCATTGTGCTCCCCACACTCAGGCTCTCCTCTCACCATCATTCTTTGGTCAATCTGCCAAACACTTCAAGAGCCAAAGAAAATATTTAACATCCCCACAAGCTCTTGCAGTGCTCCCACCACCCCGCTGTGCTGTTCACCCACCTGCTCAGCCACCAAAGGCCAGCCAGCACCATCCTCCGGTGCCTTGGGGATCCTCTCCATCCTCGGGGTGTCCCCCCACAGCCACAGCACCCCCAGAGCCCCCAGGCAGCTCCCTGGGGTGCAGCACGGCCACGCTGCTGCCACCCTTCAGCAGCTCAGGGATTAATGCTGAGATAAGGGTGGGAGACACGGCCAGGGGCAAAGAGAGACCGGAGAGGGAGAGGGGAGACCTGGAGAGCAACGAGGGAGGTGCAGAGGGCACAGAGGGCAAATATGGGAGAGAGAGGGCAAAGAGACAGAGAGACACTGGGGCCAGCTGAGAGTGACACTGGGAGGGAGCAGAGAGCAGGGACAGGAGAGGGATGGCAAAGAAGCACAGAGAGAGGACAGAGGGAGGGCAGAGGGAGCAGGGACAGGAGAGCAAAGAGGAGCAGAGATGGGGGAATGAGGCAGCAGAGAGGCAGTCAGAGGGAGCAAAGATGGGTGAGGGAGAGAATTCAGAGCTAACACACACACAGAGGGCACAGAGAGGGAGCTGAGAGGCAGAGAACAAGCAGAGCAGAGTCCATGACATCCTGTTACCCACCTTCTGAGGAAAAGGAACCAGATGCCCTCCTCTGCTCCAGAACCCAAATCTCCTCTGCTCCTTCTGCCCCACATCCCAGCCCACCCCATGGCAAACCTGCCAGACCCACATCCAGCCAC